ATTATTCCGAAGGCATGGATTCAGCTCAGCATGAGAGCTTGATTGAAGCCAGTTGGCTGTGCCAACAGGACAGGGATGGCTCAAGAGAGGCTTCGTACAAAGTATAGAAATTCTAAACAGATTTCTTCAGTCTTTCCTCCATCCATGTTCAACTGGAGCCAGCAAAGTCAGAAAAATGGCAATATTTTGCTGAAGGGAGGACTTATCCCACAGCTCAGCCATCCCCCTGGAAAGTCCACAGAAGGGAAGGAGAGAGCTGCATAGAAAACTGCAGGAGGCAGACACAGACTTCTGCTCTGAGCCTGCCTCTCTGAGACGGAGGGTTTGAGGTTTTCCCGTGAGCTCAAGCAGCAAATCCTCTAAGCCCTGTGATTTCTCAGGCATGTGCCCTCGCCGTGGGCACCTTGAGTACGTGCACCCAGAGCACTGCACAGAGGTCTGGTCCTGGGGGAGCTGTGCCTGCAGCTGGAGCCCCGCCAGCCGAGCGGGAGAGCGCGCTGGCTCCCCACACCAAATGTCTGCTCTGCTCGTGTGCAGTCTCTCTGGCCCGCAGCCTTTTGGCTCGCCCCACCTGCCTTCTTTCCTTTTTTTTTTCCCTTTCCCCCAGCTGAACTGGCGGAGAGAAGGTTGTAGCTCCTTTCTGTCCCTGCAGCTTTCCTGTCTGGCTGACGCTGTGCCCTGGACACAGATGTCTGCTTAAATATGGATCCTGCGAGGCACAAGTTATGCTTGCGGGAAGAGTGTGGAGCAGGAAGATGCTGTGATCCGTAGGTGGGCTGTGAATTACTGCCATCCTGTGCAAGAATGAAATAACAATAACAACTAACAACATACTGCCTTAAACAGTGGTTCTTTAGAAAGATGATTTCGGTACATTTTCACAATTAATTATTTATCCAGGCAGCTACTTCATTTAAAAGCATACCGTCCACATAGCTCACCCTCTGTGAGCTCATTAATGCTCAAGCTGTGTCACCTCAGGCTAATCTGGTGGCTGTTGATTGAGTCCCATGACAGCTGTTTGCAGAGGTTTGCCCTGCTCCCTGCCAGTAGCCTGCTTTCTCTGAATTGCCTCTCCGTTCCAGGCAGGGTTCAAATTTCTGAGTGAATGCTGTCCTGGGCAAAATGGTTGGATTTCTATAAGTAATAGGTAAGGCATGACAGATAACATCCTGCACACCCCCAGGAGTGCTCCTGCACGTTACAGCTTGAAGGTGTTGGTCAAGGTGAACCCTGTACCGAGCCCATAAACATTTAAGTCCCAGAACAAATGTTTGGGGGTGTACAAACATGTTAATGACCTCCAGTTAATTGGCAAGCAATTAACTTGAAGTAAAAATAGCTTTCCCATTGCTGAACAGTAACAAGAGTGCCTGTCCCCCTATGAACACTGAAATTTTTGGCCACAGAGCCTTGTCCAACTTGCCTTCTGGATCCTGGCAGGTCTGTGATCAAAAGTTTGTTGTCCCCAGCACCAGCTGCTGTTTGTTTGTGGTAGAGACTCAGCCAACATAGCTGTCTGCCAAAGCTAATTTTCAGGCTACCCTTTAATAAAGTTCTTCAGTTCATAATGCAATGAAAAAGTAAGATCATATTGACTGGCAAAAGTGTGTGGTTCAGCAAGGGAAAGCACCGGCTGTGTGCACTGTAAAGGAACTATCAGTGAAAGCTAGGTAAGTATTTTTAACCTAAGGACAGCTTGGCAGGCTATAATGTGTCTCCTACTGAATTTCAAATCTTTCTGATCCTTTGCATGACAAAAATACACAGCTGGAGTGATTTCCTCAGATGTGTATTGCAGCTGAGAACCAAGAGGCCTGCACCTAACAAAGCTCTTGGGACTCCAAGTGGGACCTGTGGGCAGATGTTTGACCTATTGCCTCTCTGCCACCTACAAAAGTCAGCAGCATCTTTTCAAGTGGTCTCCAGTCCATGCAAACCATCAGCTTCTCTTAGAACTTGGATCAAGTCCTTACTTGATTCTCTACAATACTTTGGGGGAAAAAAGGCCCAGATTTTCCTGATATGGAACCAAACCACACCTGGCTTTCATTCCTGGAAGAGATTGTCACAGCATTTCTAGGAAGGCAATAACTGGGCACACGTGAGTCTGTTGCTGAAGTCCTGTGACTCTGGGGCTTGTGGTGGCCAAGATGAGCTGGCATGTGGTGCAGAGTGGTTCCAGCTGCAGAGCCACATCTGCTCTGTGTGCTCCACAGCATTGTGTGGCAGCAGGTGAGGTGCCTGCTGCCTGTGCCATCCCTGTCTCCAGCTGCTCCTGGCCACCTCTCTCTCCAGGCTGTGTAATGTCATGCCGAGAAGGAGGGAAGGAGGTGACACTGGGAGCCTCAGGACAGGCAGGGTGTCTGGCACCTGCACAGATTCCTCTGGATGCTGCAGTGTGGTGGAGGGTCAGTCCACAAAAATCTTTCCAAATCAGCCGGAGGTCTCTGCCTTGTCTCCTCGAGGAGTGAGGGAGTGGCAGATGGAAAAAACAAAACGAGCAAAATGCATTTCCCAATCGTGGCAGCAGTACTCGGCAAACAGACGAGCCACAATGATGGAGTCTCAGATTTCTCTCCTTGTGCAGCCTGGCTTTAGGAACTTTGGCATTGTTGTGAAGCTTGAAAGGGCTCCTGTTCCCTCCTCTGGCTCCTGTGGCCTTGCATTTGGTATCCTCAGGTGTTTCAAGCAGGAGGAGCTGTAATGAGTGCAGATACCAGAGCTTTCCAGGAAACATTCAGGTACAAGTGCAGCTCTGTTCATTGTAGCTGCCTTGAATTAAAGTTCTGTGCCTGTAGTGGCAGACAAATTTGCTGGCAAACATTTTGAAAAAAAAAAGAAGAAAGCAAAAGGCATCGATCCAGAAAGGTACTGTGCACAAACTAAGCTTAGTATAAATAAGTACACCTGTGCTTGACACCAGGCACGTGATAAATGCTCTGCTACATCCTAGCCAAAATAAATTTAACATAATATCAGCGTGTCCTGGTGGAAGATGAATGCTGGCCTTGTAAGCAGGACTGCGTGTTGCAGAAACAGGATCCTCCTGCTCCACGTGTCAGCTGGGGATATCCACAGGGAGGGTCACGTGCGTGCCTCTTGAGCTCCCCAGCAGAGCTGGTGAAAACAGGTTTTGATTTGAATGAGTTATGACCCATTGAAAATGGCATCATGTGTAACCACAGTAAATTGTCATAATGAGATCACGAGGCTCAAGAAGTGAGCGGCAAGCAAAGAGGCCACATTCCACCGGGTCCACAGCTGCCAGCCCAGGGCTGCAAAATGCAGCCCGGGGACACACTCCTGCTCCCTGGGCATCTTTGGTGATTTTGGGAGAGGACCGGGGGTTGCCCAGCCAAACAAAAACTCATTGGAAGTTTTGAGATAAAAAGAAGAAAAAAAGCTAAAATTCATACAGCTTTGTATTTAGTCTTATCCAGAGTAACAGAAGGGACCGGGCTAACATGAAGAGTGGACGAACATGAGTACTGTTAGTGCTGCCATGCTCACTCAGGCTTAGCCTAGCTGTTTCTAAATCATGCTGCTGTAGGAGGGGAGGGTTTGGTGGTCAGGACAGAGCATTACAGAGGTGAAAGGAAATCCTCCTGGAAGCACGATAAAGCCTTGGTGTATCCCAGGTTCACAGCTCTGCCGGACCAGCCTTCCTGGACCCTGCTCAGGCATGGCTGCCCTGGGCTGCTCAGCTGTAAATGATGCAGAATCATCACTGCCTTCTCTATTTTCGTAGGAAAAATAGAGGCCAAGTCTAAGACTATGATCAGTTTGATGAACTTAAAACTTTACCAAATACCTGGAGAGCATATGTAGCAGAGCTCCTGCCTTCCAGATGTCTTGTAGGTGGACTTTTGGCAAGAGCTCCTTTCTGTTCCTCCCGACACAGTGCTATTTGTGTGGGGCCATTCACAGTTCAGGGGACTGGAAGAAACACACTCATTCTGCTTGTCTTCTCAAGTTATCAAGTGCATGTGGCCCAGCCACATCCTCCCACTGCCTGCGAGGCACAGGGCAGAGGTGTGTGCATGCTGCCCACTGCAGGACCTGCTTTGTTCCCTTGGTCTCAGGGCAAAGCAGGTTGCTTTCCATGTGGCTGCCACTCCTCCTGGTCTTGCACCCTTCTGTCTCCTCCGTCTGTTAAGCTCTGCACACAAATATCTCTTCCCCTGAGCAATGGACACAATTCGCACTCATGCGGATAAGCAGCACCTTCCTGACTCATATTGTCTGTTTACAGTGGTTTGGTCATGGCTGAATTCATAGCCTGAGTCCATGGATAAAGAAACACCCAGCTCGGCCCAGTGCTGTTCCGTGCAGTGCAGGTTAGCCCTTGGCCCCGGGGTTGTGCTTGCATTTATCCAAGATGCACAGTCTGAACAGCACATTGAAGCCTAAGCCATTCCCAGGACCCCACATCTCCTATTGTGGGCAGCTGGATCCAGGTCCTTCAGCTCTTCCAGTAGAAGTGCTTGAGGCTGATCTGGAAGGCTCTTGTTTTCCTGGTGTTGCCTTGCTGACATTGCTGCAAGGACAGCCAAAATAGATGGAGACCAGCCAAGCTGAAGAGACAGAGGGGAAATGTGTCCCTGCATACACTTCAGAGCAAAGCATGGGGAGCACTGAGGGTTTCCTGGTGTACCAGAGGAGTCTTCCCAATGGGGGCATTTCTGCCTGCCAGAGCCACAGGTGAATGTGCCAACACTGTTCCAACTGCAGCACAGGTGCAGCTGTGGGGAACCCAGATTTTCCAGTTGGTAGCCTACCTCCTCTGTAGCCAATGAGAACCAAGAATAAAACTGCCTGTTTTAAATACTTTCTGAATTTACTGCTTAAGCTCACTTGCTGTGTATCATCCACTGAGCAGAAGTCCTTCTGAGCTTTTTTTTTTCTCTAGTCTCAGCTTAGTATGCAGTAGCCCTGCATAAACCCTTATTTTTCTAATGCCTTTTCTAACATGCCTTATTTTTCTAATACCCGTGTAGGAGAAGAATTTGGACTGGTTCCCTCGGATGAGAGCCATGTCTCTGGTTAGCAATGAAGGCGACAGTGAGCAAAATGAAATCAGGAACCTGCAGGAGAGGCTGGAGTCAACCATGAGCCTTGTGAAACAGCTTTCCAGTCAGCTGGCTGAGCTCAAGGAACAGGTAAGTGCCCTGTGTGGGTAGCAAAGTAAGCACGTGTGGGTGAAGGTGCTGCTTTCCATCAAGTCGCAGTCAGGACAGCGCTACAAAAGAGACTTTTGTCTCAGGAAGGTTTTATCTTTCCCTCCAGCAAGCTTTCTGGGTAGATACACTGATGAGGGTTTGGAATCAAATTGTACTCTGTTAGCAACAGCAAAGATCAGGTAAGGAGAAAACTCTGGAGGGGAATTAGTCATGAGATGCTCCTGGTGAGTGTGCAAGGACAGAGGGGAAACTGCAGAAGGGATGGGGGACTGCATAACCCAGCAGTGAAAGCAGTGTAGTGTCAGGAATAGCTGCATACTGATGGGAGCCTGGAGGAAAAAAAGCATTCTGTGTCTAGCCCTTGGGCTTTTCCCCCACTGAGAACATCAACAGTGCCCTTGTGAAAACAATTTGCAGAGCCTGTTGCTTTGCCTTTGTCACCCTTGTGCTGGTGCCCCTCCTGCAGCTCCCTCTGCTCTCTTGTGTGGAACACAAGCTGCTGGCCTCCCTTAAAGCCCTGCTCCTGCCCACATCACCTGCCTGGTATGTTTGCTCTCCCCTCAGGATGAAAAGGCCAGCTTCTTTTTTGCTGCAGGTGCTGGTCACCTCTGCTTTGCTTATTACAGTTTCAGAAAAGCATGTGTGTTTTCTTTATGGGAAGCCCTTCAGTGGCATCAACAGAGTTATCTAATTATTCCCCTTCAAATCCCTCCTTAAAACTTATCCCTGTGAAAAACCCAACAAAGGTTTAGGCTGAATGTGCTGAGACCATTGCTCATTGTGCTTACCCACAACATCCTGATGGGATTTTTTTCATCCCACTCTGGCTGAATCCGTTCTCTCCTGGCTTAAATTTAAACTCTGTGTGGCCGGGGCCATCTTTTCATTCTGTGATTCTACAGCACCAAGAGCAAATGCTGACCCTCTGCAGGGCTACACAACACAATAGCTACACAACAAATAATACTTTGTAAGACCTGCTGGGGGATAAGAATAATGTATAAATGAGAATAAAATGTCCATACTTTGCAGGAAACAGATCTCCCACTTCAAAGACATCCCTTACTTTTAATTTTCTATGCTGAAGAAAAGAATTCCACTCCCTGTTGTTTTGCTTATATGTATCTTGCTCTGTGACTGCTAAATAATAGTAAAAAGAAAAAAAAAAGCTCAACTTGTCTCTCTCTGCCTTTCCACCTTAGATGACAGAACAAAGGAAGAATAAGCAGAGGCTGGGCTTTCTTGGATCAAACACACCCCATGTGAATCATCACATGCCACCACCCTGATACCACGGGGAGAAGCCGTGACTAGCCTTTCATCAGTATTCCCGCTTTATTATAGAATAAAAAACTGAGATTGAGAGGAGTGAACAGTGCCTATTGTTACAAAGTTAAAAACAACCAAGTGCCAAGATGTTAAGTGGTTTAGCTCTGGGAACAATTTGTAGCTGTTTTTCATGGTTGGGAGGGACCACAACCTAGAATGTGAGCGATACAAGGCAGCTCGTTTGTATTCCCTGCCTGGCCTGGCTGGGCTGTGCTCAGCTCTGGCTCCAGGACTGGCTGGGACAGAGGCTGGGACAGCGCTTGGCCACATCCTGGGAGCCCCTTTCTCCCCAGAGTGCTGGGAAAACCAAGCTGAGCAGAAGAAGGAAAGGTGTTTATTGAGGCAAGCACGACAGCCTGGCTCAGAATCACTAGGTCGTCTCTGGCTCACTTGCCAAATAGCAACATCAGTCATATTTGCTTGGCATTTACTATTTTTTAATTACTATGTCAGTCTGTAAGCGGTGATGTTGCTTCAAGTAACTTCTCCTAGGAGGGAAAGGGGAGAAACCTCAAAAGACTGAAGGAAGGAAAAAAAAAAAAAAAAAAAAAAAGAAAGAAAAAGTTGCAAAGAGAAACATTAACGCTTTTGAATTTTAGCTGTCACCATGCAATTTCTTATTTATAACATGGAGCACAATGGATCTACAGCTGTGGGAATGTTATGCATATAATACTGACAGCATAAGTGGAAGTGATTTCTTTCTCCTGGCTTCAGATGTTCTCAGTTAATGTGGCCGTGAGGTTTCACATACTGAGAGTTAAACTGTGTTTTAAATTCAAGTTCCAGTGGAGGATTCAGGGGGAAAAAATTATACCCATAGTTTGAAGCGTGTATGGGATTTTATTAAAAAAAAAAAAAAAAAAAAAAAAAAAAAAAAAAAAAAAAAAACCAAAAACTTAGAAATATCTTTCTGTACAGAACTGTAATGGTGTCATTACCTGCCACAAACTCATCTTCAGCAAGAGTTGACTTGAGTAAATAAACACCAAATTCTGCCAGCTTTCCTCTGAGCTATGGATCATGAGTTGATGGTTTTGCCTGCCCTTTCCACTTCCACGGGTTTGCAGGGAAGCCTGGTGGGGAACAGGGGGGCAACATCAGAGAAGCTCCTTCCAGCTCTCAGCTCTACGAAAGGCAGCAGCTAAGTCACCAGTGCAGGTTTCTGCTCTATCCTGTATTTCTTGGGATGGCTTGAAAGAAAAGTTACAGAGTTTCCACAGAGCCCTAGGGGACTCTTTTGTCTTTTAGGAAAAAATTGAGGGACACAAATGGGAGTTGTGTCCTCAGTTTGCTTTCATTTTCAGTGGGTTTTGGTTACCAGATTGTCTCACGTTTGAAAATGCACCTCTTGTTACATGGAGTCACTTTTTAAACCAAAATATTTTTGCAATGATTTGTCCCTGTAAAATTTTCATTTTTTTATAAAAGATATTTTGATCAAATGAAAAAGTATTATTGGTGTAAATATTTTCCAGTTTCTTCCTGGAGAAATGCTGTTGTCCTGGTTAAGGCACTATTCAAACCAACAGGCTTAGAGTAAAGGGAAGGAAGGGGTATTTCACTCTCTTTATCCCAAATTCAAACCAGTTCTTGAAGCTACTTTTTTTTCTTATTTTTTGTGGCAGTGATGTGGCTGAGATAAAAGAAATATATTGTAGCAATATATTTATACCTTCTACCCCTAAAACATCTCCCATTGGCTTCAATTGTGTCCTTCAAAAATAGTGTAGAAATCAGAAGTTTGTGTATTTTACTGGATGAAAATCTCTTTCCATTGGCCTTAGTCCAGAGAGCACCCTGGTTGTGAGAGGTGATGGCCAAAGGAGTTACCCACAAACATAAAGTCAGCACTCATTTGGTAGAGACGCAGACCCTGTAGCTGTATTAATCCAAATTAGTTCATAGAGCTATTCAGATCTACTCACTGCTTCTGTTGCAACAGCAATTTCCTCTTTCTCACAAGTGTGGTTCTAAAACATAAAGCACAATTCAATTATAAGATTATTTATTGGGGGGTTTGTCATTGGCTAATACTGGAATGGGTTGGCACTTTTCTTGTTTACATTCAGAAAAAGCAGCTGCACTTCAGGGGAGGCTTCTGCTGCCGGAGCTGGAAGAACTTGAGGCTGAATGGGTTTGTGCCCCGAGCTCAGGGCTGCAGGTGGGTGCTGCTGGTGCTCCCTCTGACTCACACCCCAAACCATATCCCCTCAGGCTCAGAAGCCCAGCTCCTGCTCTTCAGAAGGGAGAGTTACAGTATCAAAATCAGAGAACAGATGCTGGTTCGCCTTGGCCACAGTGCCTTTCTGCTGTACATAGCTTCCCAGAGAGACGTCTATGATCAGAAACCGAAGGTGATGCTACTTACACAGACTGTAAATATATTTCACTGAGAATTTCAACATCTTTGCTGTTTCTGTCAAAACTTAGGCCCTGCCCTGCTCTCATCCATGTGAGCAACCCATACACTCACATGTGGTAAGGCAAACAGGAACCTCCTTGTGTGGATAATGGTTGCAGGGCCAGGCCTCAAGGCTTAAAGATTGTGAAATATCCTTATGAATGAGTTTGTGACAAAAATCATTGTTTTATACATATACTTATGTGTATGTCTTTGTTTAATGCAGCTGGGGTAACCTCTTCCTAGGCAAGTATAATTTACTTTACCTATTTATATGAAATTATTTCAATGAAGTTGAAACATCTAAGAGTTTTTAATGCCTTAGAGAGATTTATAATTATAAGCTCCTTGACAATTAAAATTTATATAAGTAAATGTGCCCATTGCTGCTGAATGTAACTTTTAATAAAATGTGTCATTTTATATATGTCTGTCTCATTCTTGGTGCTAAGGCTGGGGGGAAATGTGTGTTCTGGTTTGGGAAGAGCAGGCTGGGTGGGGGACCAGGCTGTGGGTGTGCACCCATTTCTTCAGCCCTGACTGGATGGAGTCTGAATGCAGCAAGGAATGCAATAATTTGTTTTATTTCAGGCACAGGTTGCTCCATCCAGGATGATGGATCCAGACGTGCCACTTTTTCCAGAGGTTGGGTGGCAGCTGGTGTAGGATTTGGTGGAATGTTCTTTGTTGAGGCCAGGGGAGCCCTGGATGAAAGTGGATGGCAGAGGCAGGGATGGTGATGGGTCAAGTGTTACCAGGTGGGGATGAGCAGGCTCAAGGCAAACAGTCTCAGGAGTTCTGCTGCTGACTGATCTTTTCTAACCTTTATGATTCCACAATACTATGATGCAGGCTTTTCTGTGTGAGATTATTTTGCACATTTTTGTCCTTTTTTTTTTTTTAATGTTTTTAGTGTAACGCTTTCAGGTAGCACATTGAGAGAGGGACCAAAGGCTCCTCTGGGTGAAAGAATTGAGAAAGACAAATTGTGTCTCTCAACTTGGGCTAAGGAAATCTGTAGTCTTGTGAAAAAAGGAAGAGCCCTCCCTACAAACCTGTGATAAACGGATAAACTACACCATACAAGTGCTTTTTTCCCTTTTTCCCAGCTGTTTTGGTTTTTTTTTACAAATAGTCAGTATTTATGAGGAAAAGAGTAAGGCCTCCTCTTAGCAAGAAAAAGCTTGCTAATTAATTAGTAAGAAAAATCCTATTAAATGGAGCATACTGTTTCTCCTGTGCACTTGTTCCACCAGCTTACTGAGATTTTGAGTAGAATTAACTTTCTTTTCTATTCTCTGGTATGATTTTAAGGCTAAACAGAAAGGAGCTTGTTTACTACCAGGTTTGTTAGATGATTTTGCACAAAGTATATTCTACGAGAAAACGGGGTTTCATGCAACGAGCTTTCAACATAAGTCATACTTTAAAAGCCCCCAAAACAGCATTAAGCTTCTAAGCTTCTAAAGGGGAGCAGTTTCACATGCAGGACTGAGAACCTAATGCCAAGGCTTTTCTTTTTCAAAATGTTTGCCCCCAAGGCACATTTTAATTCAAGAGGTGTTTCAGGGAGCAATCCTCTCCCTCGGCACTGGCTCACTCCCTTCTGGCCTGCAAGTGAATTCTGCTCCTCCCTTTCCACCACTGCTGCTGCTGCTGCTGCTGTGACAAAAGCATCTGCAGGCGAGGATGTTTTCTTTGGAAAGCACGTGCTTATCTTCTGGGGAAGGCTGCCAAGTTTATTTTTGAGAGGAGAAAGCTGAGATGTAAGGCTGATAACCTCTCTGCTGCCCTGGGATGCCCGCAGGAGCACGACTCTTGCTTGCAGGTGCCTGTGCTGAACACCCTGAATTTTCCCAGAATCATTCAAAACGCCTCAAAAGGAACTCAGGCTGTGGGGGTTTGAAATGTGCAGTGGTGTATTGCTACCACAAGCTCACACTTGCCCGCTCTATTTATATGCTGCAATTTTTCAGGCCAAAGCAGGAAGCTGCAAAGTAGAGGACAAGCAGCCTTTTTAATTTGCTATTTCCATGTTTTTCTCTTGCTGCAAACAGCCAAGAGTTAACTTTCTTTTCATACTGGAAGTTTCTTTCTCCATGTCTCTACCTTTGTCTGCTGCCGCTCAGGTAAGGTGAGACCTGGGCATGGCCTGGACCATGGGGTTTACTGATTAACCAAAGCAATAAGCTAAAATGTGTAGGAGCATGATGTTCTTATGACTTAAAAATTCTGTTTAAATGTTGTAGATCATCAACATCCAATATCTGACTCAATGTAAGCAGGTTTTCCTAGCAGCCCTTCTTGTGGTAAATCATTGCACAGTCCTCATTCCCTGATGGAGCAGCCATGTGGCCTTTGCTAAGGCAACGCACACCCGTGTGCAAGGCTGTGGGGTCAACCCAGCCACTGCTCTGTGTGGGCTCTGTCACTATTCAGATTTCATCCAGATGGCAAGAGCAGTGGGGGGATCCAGTTACAGCCCAAAGGCCCAAATTCCCTTAATAAGTTACTCCCTTCTGGCCCCCAAAATCTGCAACATTTATAGGTTTTGTTCCCAATAACATTGAGCTGCCACAAAAACTGGATTTTGGACACACCCTCAGTGTTTCCTGTAATGGCCTTCAACT